TAAGACTTATGAATAATGAATCATTTCACAGATAACTTTTCCCTTACTAAAAAAATTATTTTTACGTTACTTACTAAAAATCGACCAGGTGTGGGACCAGCAGATGGCATAGCGGTTAAGTTGCTGGACTCCCACATGGCCGACTCTGGTTCAAGTCCCGGACCCAGTGACTTGAAAATCAAACCAGATGCATGTGCACGTGTACCCAAGATCCTGGGAGGAGAATGGAGAAGGGATTGCAGAGTGGCCATTCCCCTCTCCCCTTGGGGAGTGATTTCTTACTTTCCCTTTCCCTGTGTCCATTCTCCATCCCCAGTGGGGTGATTTCTCACTTTCTCTCTAACTATGGGTCTGGCGCACGCTCTCGCGCACTCTCTCTCTCTCTCGGCAAGCACGAACACTCTTAAAAAAAAAAAAAAAACGCCACCACCAGGTGCCAGGCACGGGCCATATGTGTGCTCAATCTTCGCAGTAACCCTGTTAGATGGGAGTACTTGTCTATTTTATCCTTGAGGATACTCATGACATGAAGAGTACCTAGATGGCTGAGCACCTGTGCTAGGATCTGAGACCAAAATGCTGGCTGTAACCAGAAATGAATCTCCATGTGGAGATTCCGAAAAGGCTGGCAACCCCCCCCCCCCAAGAACAAACGCCCCAGGAGATTTACAGTGCGGCGAGAATGAGAGCTCTGTGAATGCAGCACAAAAAACCCAGGCTTGAACCCTGGGCTACACCACAGCGTCCTCTGCTACTCGCCTGTCTTCGCCAATGGACAGAGACACAAAACCAACCATGCTCTCTGCACGTCACTCCCAACATCCACCCTGACCACACACAGACAGTAATTCTGTGGTAGAAAACTTGGTTGAGACATGGAGGCTTCTGGTTAACTAAATACTTGTAGCTTGTTTAATTTCCCCAAAATTAAACACAAATTACAATGAATGAAGTTCTTTGATGTGATCGTCTTCCCTTTATCAATATAAGAAAAGACTTTCTCTGCTATATTATTCCCTCCCCACTCCCACTGCGGTCCTTGTTGTTTTTCATCTCTGGTGGTAGGCAGGATGCTGCAAAGCCAAGTCTGTGTTTTGATCACAGCTAACACAGTCAAAATTACCCCCACTCTTCTGGCCCTCAGTAACACTCAGTCTGGCGAGACTACTATTGATTTTCATCATTTTTTTCTCAACTAGATGAATGAAATCAAAGCATAATTTTGAGACCTCTGAATGCTAACCCTGCAATGATGAAACCCATTTCTAATACCTCCTTTGTCTAACTGCTGCATAAAAGTCCCGAACACAGGGTGAAATCCTGAGGCCTCTCTCCAATCCCTCTTAAAGAACTCAGAATTTGGGGCTGGCAGGTAGCATGGTGGCTGAGGTGCTGGACTTCCACATAGTCAACCATGGTTTTAATCCTGGGCCTGAAGGCTAGCTTTCTCACTCTCCCTCTCTCTGTCTCTGTCTCTCTCTGGTCAAATTGAAGATAAATAAAAAATTAAAATAAATAATTCTAGGGACCAGCAGTTGGTGTAATGGCTATGTCACTGGACTCCCAGGTAGTTGACTGTGGTTTGAGTCCCCAACCCGGTGGCTTAAACTCACCAGGTGTGTGTGCATGCATGCTCAAGATCCCAAGAGGAGAATGGAGGAGAAGGGATGCAGTATGGCCATCCCCCCCTAGCGGGTGATTTTTCCCTTTCTCTCCCTATAGCAAAAACCTCTCCAATAAATAAATAAATATTTAATTTTTTTTAAAAAACTCAGAATTTTAGCTCCACACACTACGGGGAATGTTTAAAAGGGCAACAAAAGGGGCCAGCAGTTAGCATGGTGGTTCAAGGTACTGGACTCCCACATGGCCAATGAAGGTTCCAGTCCCAGACACGATGACTTGAAAATCATGCCGGGCACATGTGTATACCCAAAATCTCAAGAGGAGAATAGAGAAGGGATTGCAGCATGACCATTCCCCCAGGGGTGATTTCTCTTTCTTTCTCTTTCTCTCTCTCTCTCTGGTGAGTATTTGCACCCTATAGCCAAAACCTCAAAAGAAAAAAGGATAACAAAAGCCACATAAGGCACAATCATGCCTAACTATGTCACAGACCCAGTTCTTACAAATCAGTGTACCGTGTTTCTCCCGCCAGAACTGTACTGCCCTGACCATCACAGCCTGCGAGCTGACGGGAGACGTGCTCTCACCAGAGAGTCTTCTTCCAGGCTAAGGAATTCCACGCAGCCCTACCTATATGAGAACCCACAGATCCAGCCAGATCGTAATAGTTAATGCTGTTTAGCGAGAGCAGCTTGTTATGGTTTTAGCTAAATAAGACGGAACCATTCTGTACGTGTTCAAGAAACCAAGAGCAGCCTTTCACAAGAACGATGTTATTCTTGGCACCTTTGAGACAGTTTCATTTCCTAAAGGACTGTCTGCCTGGTACAACACACGAAGCACTTCAGATAAAATCATCAAAACCTTTTCTCCTACCTGAAGGCAGGGGAAACCATTCCCTGAGTTACTCCATTTCCTCTATAAAGCAAGTGGCTTTGGAAAAGACGAGCCGGCCTGCACCAAGCCCATTTCCTCTTC